CTTAGTTGTGGACTAGGAGACTATGAGAAGGGAAAGTCAACAAGATGAAAGATTGGAGAAAATCAAGAGAGACTTATTGGGGAACAAGGATAGCCATTCAGGCTATACCTTAGTCGATCAAAGACTGTTATACAAGGGGTGAATGGTGATATCGAGGACGTCCCCATATGTATCCCACTTACTGCGAGAGTTCCATGATAGTGCCATAAAAGGGCACTCAAGGGTATAGAAGACCTATCATAGGCTTACGACAGAATTGTATTAGGTTGGAATGCAGAAAAATGGGGATGAGATGTTGGCCAGCTACGATATGTATCAAAGGCACAAATACATGACGATGGCTCCAGGAGGACTTATGCAACCTCTTGCTCTGCTTGAAAAGGTGTGAGAAGAGATAACCATGAATTTCATTGAATGTCTTCTCTCCCCTGCGACATGCATACGGCAATTTCAATAGCAATAGAATTTATTTGAGAGGTGGTCCACTTAAATGAAATTTTGGAGTCCATAGTGTCAGATAGAGACAAGGTGTTCCTGAGCCACTTAGGAAGAGAGCTATTCAAGATGTAGGGTACCGTTCTGAATAGAAGTACAGTCTACCATCCACAGAATGATGGGCAAACCGAGGTGGTGAATAGGAATGTTAAGACTTCAGATATTTTGTATCAGAAACACTTAAGACCTCAACGAAGTGGTTACCTTGGGTTGAGTACTAGTCAATGTTTAAAATTGCGTATTCGGGTATTGAGGCGTTTTTCATTCGTGAGGCGAGGCGTAAGCCTCAAGGCGTTTTGAGGCGTAAGCCTCAAAATCAAAAGATTTCGTAAACATAAAATGATAAATTTTTTATATACTAATGAGTGAATAATATAAAACATAAAAAAGCATAAGATATGAACTGAAATCAAAATATCTCAATAATAAGAGAACATGAAATGTAGTTCAACTCAAAATTTTATCTTTCCCAAATTTCAGTAATCTTTTCATTAACATATAATTCCAATTTCCAAAAATAAATAGCAATGACATATCACATAAGAACTCATAAGTCATCAGCACTATCATCAATAAAGGGTTCTTCATTTGAATCATCATTATGATGAACGGCACTCTCCCCTTCCTCCTCTCCTATAGAGTCCAATGCCGAGCATTTACTTCAAGATTTATGTAAGTTTTAATATATATAGCGTGAGGCGTAAGCCTCATGACAGTGAGGCGAGGCGGGCCTCAACCAAGTTGAGGCGCAAGCCTCATAAAAAAGACTTGAGGCGTAAGCATCGAGGCGTTTTTACTGGAATTGCGCAAAGACGGGCCTCAAGGCAAGCCTCATATTGCACAATTTTAAACCATGGTACTAGTACAATACATTCTACCATAGTGCAACGCATACTTCAGTATTTAAAATCCTTTGTTAAAGAGACCCTCCCCACCTTGTATACTATGAGACCAAGAATACTCCAATTTCATCAATGGAACAGCAGTTGGAGGAACGGGATAGGATATTAGGAAAGCTAAAGGGGCACATACTGAGGGCATAACAAATTATAAAGAATCAGGTGGACTGGCATAGAATGGATGTGCAGTTTCAGATAGGTGATAAAGTATATTTGAATATTCGACCCTACATACAGAAGACCTTAGCTCGAAGAAAAAATGAAAAGTTATCTCCATGGTCAAAATCTTGCATAGCAATACCTATAGAGTATTCCAAAAAAATGATGATGAAGTATTTACTTGATGAGGATTAAATTAAAAAATATCTTTAGAGTGTTCCTGTGAAACAAGATGGAGTTCTCATTATAGGTCACTAATTAGATTGATTACAAAATTCTCCTCAGTTATTGATGTACTAGAAATTATTTTGGAGGATGACATAAGCTCTAAACAGAGAGGGGAGAAATTTGTATTATTAGAATCCTTACAATCTTTTGAATTCTCTTTCTGTATGTATCTAACGAAAGACATACTTGAAATCACTGATATACTATCAGAAGATTTAGGGAGATATGATCAAGACATCGTGAATGTCATGTATTTAATTCAAAAATCTAAAATTAGATTACAATATATGAGAGTTAACAAGTGTAATGACTTCATTAATAGAGTGACTTCATTTTATGATGAACACAAAATAATTACTTCGAATCTAAATGATAAATTAGATGCTCATGGACGCCCGCGACATGGAGTTCAAGAAATAACAAATTTACATCATTTATGAATTAAAATATTCTACACAGCAATTGATATACAACTTTAGGAGTTGAATAATCATTTCACAGAGGCAAATATTGAATTAATTTTATGTATTTGTTATTGTAATCTATCTAATTCATTCTATGCATTCAACAAAGAGAAGTTAATTAAAACGGAAAACTCATATCCAATTGATTTCACTCCTTCAGATTTGATAATTTTTTATAATCAGTTGAAACTTATATTATGGATATATAGTCTCAAGTACAATTTTCATTATTAAAAGATATAGGAAGTACGGCTGAAAAAATGATTCAGAACAGAAAGGAATTATTAAATCTCCTTATTTTTTGGCTATTAAAATTGGCATTAATATTACTTGTTACAACAATAGGAGTTGAAAGAGCATTTTCTATTATGGCTATCATAAAAAATAGACTATGCAATCGAATTAGAGATTAGTGGATGAATGATATTTTAACTGTTTATATTGAAAAAGAAATGTTAGATTGTATTTACAATGATATTATTATTCAATTTGTTTAGAATATAAAGAACATAAGCTATAAATTGTAAGTATTTTTCATCTTATATTTAGTAGTTTATTTTAAAAAAAATTAAAATTGTTAATGCCAATCTCAAGCCTGTAAGAAAAAGTTAAGGAGATTTTTTTAAAAAACATAAATAAGACACCCTCTATGAAAAGTTTTTGGCATTGCCACTAAACTAAAAAATGTCAGATTTGCGGTAAGCGTGATGGTTTCTATTTTTAAGAATAAAGTTCATGCACAACAGTGTATGTATTATAGAGGAATTAAGTTAATGTGTCATATACATTAAAACTATAAGAGAGAGTGATTAAGCATAAATTATGAAGTGATACTAATATTTCTCAATATCAATTCAAATTCATGTCAGGTAGGTGGAAGCAATACAGTTGTTGAGAGGTTTGATAGAGAATTATAGAGAGCATAAAGAGGATCTACAAATGATTATTTATTGATTTAGAAAAAATATATGATAAAGTTCCATCAGAAGTTCTCTAGAGAGTTTTAGAAAAGAAATGTGTTAATAATGCTTATATTTAAATTATTAAGGATATATATACATGAGCTGTTACTTGTGTTCAAACACAAGATAGTTTGATCAAGTATTTTTTTTAATTTCAGTTGAATGACATCAAAGAGCAGCTTTAAGCACCTATATTTATACTTTAGTTATGGATGTTCATACTAGTACAAGAGAATGTACCCTGGTATATGATTTTTGTTGATGATATTCTTCTTGTAAAAAAGACTAGAGAGGGAGTTGAAATAAAACGTGAATTACTAAGGTCAACCTTAGTATCTAAAAATCTTCCTTTGAATAGATCTAAAACTGAATAGATATAGTGTAATTTAATAGTAATAAATCTAGTGGGGAATTGTGACTTTGGACGATCAAGTCATTAAAAAGAGTACATTTTGAATATATCGGATCTATTATTTAAAGCGATGGTGAAATGATGTGCATATTATCAGTAGAATTCATATTGCATGGTTAAGTGGAGGAATGCATAGGGTCTATTGTGGTATAGAAAAGTATCCCTCAAACTTGAGGGAAATTTTATAAGATGGTGGTGAAACATATAATGCTTTATGGCGCTGAATGTTGGTAATTAAAAGAAAAGCATAAAATTAAGTGTTGTAGAGATAAGGATGCTCAAGTGGATGAGTGACTTTATACTTAGAGACAGAATGTGAAACGAGGACATACATGATGGAGTAGCTCCTATGGAAAATAATTAGATGATTTGGTCACATAAAATGTCGGCCTTGCGATGAGCCAGTTATGAGAGTGGATGTATTAGATCTGGCCTATGTAAAAAGGTAGAGGTAGACCAAAAAAGACTTGACTAGAAAGTATTAGCAATGACCTTTTTTAATTAAATTTGTATGAGAATTTGACTCTTAATAGAACACAATAGAGAAAAATGATTCATGCAGCCGACCCCACGTAGTGGGATAAAGGCTTGATGTTGTTATTGTTGTTGACCATTCTACTGCAAAAAATTTTAGTAATAATAAATCAGAGTGTTATAGCTATCGTGAATGTGAGATAGTTTGAAAAATATGGATGAGGCGGCAGTGTGATCCCTGCCCAAAACCTGCTTCTTAGCACCTCAATTCATGCCACCTCTCTCTAATCACTCCCACCATCTTCAAAACACTTCCCCACCCCACACTACCTGCCCCATGCAAGCCTACAAGAACCCTGCACCAAACTGATTTCAGCAATTGAAGCATCTAAATATACATAAATACTCAACAACATCAATTTTTTTAATTTTATCTCCCGTGTGTAACAGAAAAAGTCATTCTCAAGTATAATGAGAAAAGCAGAAACTTAACAGCAGGCAGATTACTAGTTATCCAAAGATGTCAACATAATGAAAGAAACTCTAATCCAAAATAAACGAATATTGAGAAGTTTGACCAAATAAAAACCAACGTCAAATGTAGCTCCTAAAAAGTATAGAAAATGTGAAACTTAGGCTTCATTTGGGATAGCTTTATACCACTGTTTTTTCCTACTTACAAGAAATTGTTGTACTAAAAAGCTGTTTTATAAAGCAATAAGAAAGCCATCCCAAATGAAGCCTTAGAAAAAATTGATGACAGCAAAATAATACCAAAGCCAACCCCTAAGAGCTGGATAATGATGAATGTCATTGTCAACTTAAGTAACAACTAATGGTTTGGTGTAATAAATGACAATGTGATTGAGAAATTGTTACAATATAAAAAAAAAAAAAAAAACATTACCTCACGCGCCTAAGGTACTCTAGACCATCTAAAGGTGGACCAGAATCAAAATCAGGTTCTCCCTCAACCAAGAAAGCAGGCCTCTGAATACTGCTATATTCATCATCACTGTCATCATCATCAACATCATCAATTTCAAACTCCCCGATGTTATTGTGTTCACAGTATGATGCTTCATTGTTAGTATAATTTTCACTACCAACCACTGTTTCTCCATAAGCAAAATCCGAGGAAATGAATATGCCTGAATCCTCTATATTTAATGAGAACACCTCACCTGAAATTTATATGGTATGTTGTTCACATGGTTCAATATAACATTCAAGAGAAATGATAATATGTACAAACGAAACTTGAACTTGATGAATTAATTTAGAACAATCAGTGACAAAAAAATGGCCTACAATTGAGCTTAGCAAAAAAATTAACATATAATTTACATAAATGATTTACAACCTAAAATACTAACAAAATAAATTGTTTTGCCAACATTTTCTATAATTAATTGATATATACGCCAAAATTGCAAAACAATGACCACTTAAAAAAACACTGCTATCAGTTCAAAAAAAAAATTTGAAGTTGTCATTTTCTTCCATTCTGAAACCATTGTTACAGTCTCATGCTAGGATGAGAATGATTTGGAGCTAAGATTGAAGTTGATAAGCACCATACAACCGATGACAAAAATCCAGAGATAACCTGATTTTTGTTAGCACGTGTCCCAACTTGATTGTGGTAAGAAGTTTGCTTGAGTTGGCAATGATGCCACTGAGAAAAAGCGAACAACTTAACTGGATTATGTAAAGAAGTACGAAAAGAAGGTCAGAATATCCTCCGTAATTGATGCACCACCATGTAAGTGTCATGAAAAGTGTGTGGACTTGAGCATAAAACTAGGATAATAATTATTATATGAAGTTTAGAGACTTTGAATGGGAAGGATAGTGAGTTAGTACAAACTATTATAAAAAGAAAAGAAACTATCCATGACTGAAAAAAAACTAAACGAAAGAAGAAATATCTAAAGATCGCAGAAAGTTTTTGTAAGATATTGTATTTAAGAAATACTAATAATAGAAGCAAAACAAGAAACAATAGATGGAGAGTAAAAATTTGAAGTGTTGAGGTAACCAGATTTTGTTATTATAATGATGAAATCAAAAATTAGTAAGAAAGTATTAACATATGCAACGATGGAACCAATTACACCACCAAAAGGTTTGAAAAGAACACTATTATAGCTATGTACTACGAAAGTTTTGTTCACAAATTCTCATTTAAGCATATATATTATTGAAGTTTTGTCCTAACTCAAAAAGGATACATCCTTTCACTCGCCCGCATATATATATATATATATATATATATATATCAATTCCTCTAATGCTTATACTCCAATTTGATTAGAAGAAAGCTTGAAAATTATTTTACAGCAAAATGGATGCATTACTAAAAAATATATGACATGAGAGGATAATTATACATACTAAAGAGGATTCATGATACGCATTATATCAAAGACAAAAAATGCAATGAATTAAAATATTCAATTCAAATGATCTAATAATAGTGAACACGCTGTCTATGCAATGAGAAGAGTACTCAGAGCCATTGGCTCATTCTTCACCTGGAAGGCAGTAAGAGATCACATTCTTCTCCGACTTATTGAAGCACACATTTTCCCACTTCAGCTCAATCCCCTATGAAAGTTCGTTTTCACATTCCCTTGTGATATTCATTATCCATCACCTAGGAGTATTCAACCTTGCTATCAAAAGTAGAGCAGCTAATCAAACGTAAACTTTCAGTAGCTAGGAATTGACAATAAATATTTTTGCAAAGATTACAAAGTAATCATAAATAATAAGTTTGTTGTATGTATGTTTATATATATATATATATATATAACAACAATAAACTTTTATCTCAATATGTGAGGTCTGCTACATGAATTTTGTTCTCCATTATGTCCTATTAAGAGTCAAATTATTATTTAAATCCAATAAAATCTAATAAAAAATATCATTTTTAATACTTTCAAACTATATTTTTTTGGCCTACCTGTACCTTTCTTAAAAAAAGTCGAATCTAACACATCTACTCTCCTAACAAAGTCATCAGAAGGCCTACATTTATGTGACTAAACCATCTAAGGCAACTCACTCTAATCATATTTGCCACTAGAGCTACTCTACCTTTCATGTATGCGCTTATTTTGCATTCTATCTCAAAGTGTACAGCCACTCATCTACCTAAGCACCCTCATGTGTTAAATATAACAACAACAACAACATTAAGCCTTTATCCCACTAAGTGGGGTCGGCTACATGAATTCTTTTTCGCCATGGTGTCATGTTAAGAGTCAAATTTACATTTTAAACTAATAAAAAAATGTCAATTCTAATATTTTCTAAGTCATTTAGGTCTACCTCTACCTTTCATAACATAGATCAAATCTAATACATCTACTCTCCTAACCGAGCCATCAAAGGAACAACGTTTTACGTGACCAAACCATCAGAGTCAACTCTCTCTAATATTTTTTCACTGGAGCTACTCCAACCTTTTCACCTATATGCTCATTTCGCATTCCATCTTTAAGAGTAAAGCCACTCATTCAGGTTGGATGGTTGAAGTGGAGAAATACGTCAGGCTTGTTGTGTGATAGAAAAGTCCCTCTCAAACTTAAGGGAAGATTCTATGAGATGGTAGTGAGACCTACAATGCTTTATAGTGTATAATGTTGGTCATTAAAAGAGAAATATAATGATGTAGTGCACGATAAGGCTCTGGAACAACTTATCATATTTTCTTTGCATTCTCCACTTATCCCTGCTAAGTTCGTTAGTTTAGCACCTTCATGGTTTAAAATTGCGCAATATGAGGCTCTCCTTTGCGCAATATGAGGCTCTCCTTTGCGCAATATGAGGCTCTCCTTTGCGCAATTCCAGTAAAAAACGCCTCGATGCTTACGCCTTGAGTTTTTTTTATGAGGCTTGCGCCTCAACTTGGTTGAGGCCCGCTTCTCCTCACTGGCATGAGGCTTACGCCTCACGCTATATATATTAAAACTTACATAAATCTTGAAGTAAATGCTCGACATTGGACTCTATAGGAAAGGAGGAAAGGGAGAGAGCAGTTCACCATAATGATGATTCAAATAACCCCTTAGTGATGACACTGCTGATGACTTATGAGTTCTTATGTGATATGTCATTGCTATTTATTTTTGAAAATTGGAATTATATGTTAATGAAAAGAATACTAGTATTTGGAAAATATAAAATTTTGAGTTGAACTATATTTCATGTTGTCTTATTATTGAGATATTTTGATCTCACTTCATATCTTATGTTTTTTTATGTTTTATATTATTCACTCATTAGTATATAAAAAATTTATCATTTTATGTTTACGCAATCTTTTGATTTTGAGGCTTACGCCTCAAAACGCCTTGAGGCTTACGCCTCGCCTCACGAATGAAAAACGCCTCAATACCCGAATACGCAATTTTAAACATTGAGCACCTTTACACCTTTTTAGCACATTTGCATCTTTTTGTTTGTTGCCCCACTTATAGTATTTAGAATATTCCAGTTAGTAGAAAGGATATAGAAATATATATAGGGAGGAGAATGTACTAGCTGATCAATTTTTGAGAATACATCAATAGAACCCTGCTCTGGTAAGAAGATTACTCCGGTATTACTTGTTTCTTTTAAGTTTCTCTGTTTCAGGTACCCGTTGCTGGAGTCTACTGCCGCACTCGATCGAAGGGCCTCGTCAGGTTAACCTGGCTCTGATACCAACCTGATAGAAAAGTCCCTCTCAAACTTAAGGGAAGATTCTATGAGATGGTAGTGAGACCTACAATACGTTATTGCATAATGTTGGCCATTAAAAGAGAAACATAATATTTAGTTAAGTGTTGCAAAGATGAGGATGCTCAGGCGGAAGAGTAGCTTTACTCTTAAAGATAGGATAAAAAACGAGCAAATACATGAAAAGGTTGGAGTAGCTCTAATGGAAGACAAGATTAGAGAGAGTCACCCTAGATTGTTTGGTCACATAAAAAGGCGGCCTATCGATGACCCGATTAAGAAAGTAGATGTATTAGAATTGACTTGTGTTAAGAAAGGTAGAGGCAGACCTAAAAAGAATTGGTTAGAAAATATTATAAATGACCTTTTGTTATTAGATTTAGATGAGAATTTGATTCTTAACAGGACAAAATTGAGAAAAACAATTCATGTAGCTGACCCCAAATAGTGGGATAAAAGCTTGTTGTTGTTGTGGTCGTACTGAATGTACAAGTAAAAAAACAATGTCCTTTTCATAGGCCTTTTCAAACCTAGACATTTTTAGAAAGCTTTAAATTCAATAAAATATGATTATATTGATTGATGCCTTGTCCTGATATAAATGAAAAAATAAGAGAAATAAAATATAATTTAAAGCTATCAAAAGTATGAATGTTTGGATTGGCCAAATAAAACAAGTATAGTGGCTTTAAAATTAAATATTTTTTAAAATTTGTTTACTTCATTGGCTAGTATAGTCGACTGATAAACTTCTTAATTATCATCCAATGATTTTAGAGAGCATGGATTTTCCATGGGCATGAAGAATTGTGCATGATGAATTGCTCTAATTTTGATGCACTGCCTTGGTTTGGGAACTTTTCATTGTTATTTATCTTAGTATTGCATCAAGTATACTCCCCACATCCTAATTTGATGGTGATTACACATTCTTCAATATCTATAAGATAGAACGATCAAACTTGCAGCCTGGAAGTTTGAATAACTGCATGAAGAAGTTATCATAAACACTACAACATCTTAGCATTTTCTCTTGTTTTTTTAAGTCTATCATTGACCTCAACAATTTAATAGGGATTGTAGCTATCTATCTTGGTAAATTCATACCTACCATGAATCATAAACATGGATGGGCATCATTATCAGAAAACCAAAAATAACTGTGAAAGGATTAGGTACTAAACATATTACGTACATGACACCCTGCGGACGGGAAGAAAGATAAAAAAATCCCTCATCCATAAACTCAAGATAACTCAACAAAATACAAGCTCCTTTCTTTCAATCTTGTAGAATAAATCTTCGCATTATCATATTGCCTAATATTGAACAGGAGACCCTCATATTAAAACAGCAAACAACCCAAAAAAGCAATCAATCAACAGAGATCGGGCAAGTAAAGCATAGATGGAAAAAAAAAGACCTCCATAAATGCATTTAAAAAGAAATAATTTGAACATAGCTCGATCATACCCAGGGCTCCAAAATCATCCTTCTTTTGCCCGAATTTGTCCCACAATAATTCTCCCTGCTTCCCTTTGTTTTTATCGTTACGCACCCGAAGCCCATTGTACTCGCGAGCAACGGTTGCTTCCATTCTAGCGTAGACTCCATTCCACATCTGCCGCTGAGCATCGACGTCTAGAAACCTTAAGGCGTCCATCTCACTCCGCGAGTAAGTCCTCCGCTTCGTTTCGTCCATACATCCACTAGCTGTCGCCCAAATTAACTGCGCTCCCTCCTCTTCGTTCCCCAAATAAGCTCCTTCGTCATCTTCTCCGTGGACCGATGACTCTTCCGTGCAATTCTCGGGCATGTTGGGGCTTCCACTGCCGCTTACAAGCTAACCTCCGGCTTTCTCACACTTGTGACGAAGAAAAAAACGCAGGAAAATCCGTTCAAATGAAACAGCAAACCCTAGAGCCGATTAACGCCCCGAATTCTAATCGGGGGAATACGGCTAACCATGGGAATTGAAGTAGGGAAGTTTTGAGTTTACATGTCATGCCCGATTAATTTTCCAAAGAAATATTTTCAAAAAAAATTTGAGATTATAATATTGTTGTTGCATTACTATTGAGTTCGTCAAATTTTAATAAGATTCGAATAAAATTTAAATAAAATAAAATAAAATAAAAAACTCACTATCAAGATCATATACAATAAAATTAGATTTAAGAATGAACATTCGTCAAATCCTAATCAATTTTAATTTATTTTTATTCAAAAAAATTTTAGATCAACAAAAACCATTCAAAAAAGGCTACTATAAGATATCATTAAAAAAATTTTATAAAATAGTTAAATAGTAAATTCAATTAAGATTTATTTAATGTTTGACATAACATAAATTCTAGAAGTGATCACAGTAGATATAGCATATAAAATTCAAATAGTTTCGAGCATGACAATTATAATAAAGAGCAATTACAACGTACAAAATCTAGCAAATTTAACAATAACAAAGCCAATTTATATCCTTAACACATGAAAATAATAAGTGTATTATCATTGTACAAACACTTAGGTTTCATTTGGATCGGTTTTTTTATTGTTTCTTAAATCAACTTTTTAGTATAAAATTTTATTTTTTACTAGAAAGTTATTTTAAGAAGCACTAAAAAAGTCGTCCCAAACAAAACCTTAATAATAACATTTTAAGAATTATCATTACTCCATACAAGAAACTAGATATGAAGATTGTAAACAATTATCCTTACAAGTAACTCGATGATGGCCACTAGAGGAAAATTACTTATTACCAACGAAATTTTTTGGCTGAAAATACAAATTTTCGGCGGATTTGGAAGTTTCCAGCATAAAATATATCGCGGGTATAAACCGTGTAGGAAATTTTTTTCCTATTAAAAAAAGCATCCATAAAGGTTTTCCAGCGAATAACTGGCAGAAAATGCAGCCGAAAAAAATATATATATATATATTTTATTTAGTAAAAAAAATGTCACTCTAGCTCTGCCTAACCCGCCTAGTTGACTGTGAACCCGTCAGCTCGAACCGCAGGAAGTTTTCCCCACCCCACCCTGCCAGCCTGATGCGTCCAACCCCTGGCCAGCCCACCCTGCCCGCCTGCATCACGTGAGATTCGAACATGGGTCTTTGGGAAATTCTTCAAAGACCCCATTATTCTACTGCAAAGAAAAATATAATTCAATTGTTACTTTTTTATATTTAAATTAGAACAATGCGTAAAATGAAAAAAAGGATATTAATAATTAATAATTAATTTTAAAATGAAAGTAAATTATCAATAATTAATTTTAAAAAATGAAATTTAATAATTAATTAAAATAAAGTATTAAAATTAAAATAAATTTTTAACTTAATAATTAATTAAAATTATTAATTACTTAATATAAAATTATAAAATAAATTAAAAATTAAATAAAAATACACAAAAAACTCAAAAAGCTTTCTAGATCACTTCCCCTAATTCATGGAGTGAGTGGCTTGCCCATTTCCATAAGACGAAGACAAATTAATACCTTCAATACGATTAATTATTCTGTGTGGATGTTGAATACCATTTGAAGACCAACCAGAATGTACCATGTCACCCCTTCGCTCGATACCACGGCTCGATAATGCTCGATACCTCTCGGCACTGCGTCTCGGTACTACTAGTACTAAAAAAACTCAAAAAGCTTTCTAGATCACTTCCCCTAATTCATGGAGTGAGTGGCTTGCCCATTTCCATAAGACGTAGACAAATTAATACCTTCAATACGATTAATTATTCTGTGTGGATGTTGAATACCATTTGAAGACCAACCAGAATGTGCCATGTCACCCCTTCGCTCGATACCACGGCTCGATAATGCTCGATATATACCACTCGGCACTGCGGCTCGGTACTACTGATGTGGCGCATTTTGGTTGGTCTTCGGATGATGCTTTGCTTCTGATCTCTGCACAAAATAATTTCTCCTTCAACATAGGGCTGAAAGAGGTCGCTGCTCTCTTTGGCATCATCCTTTATGAATTATTGTGTCAATGGCATCATTAGCTCTATCCCATAGTCTTCAAATCCAAGTACTCTGCATGCAAAAGAAACACTAGCTCCCACAAACTATTTCCACCATAAGCTAAATGTGAAGAAGTAAATAGAAAAAAACATGTCTATCATCTATTAAATCACTTATGTCCCAGAATACAAATAGACCTTTGAGTTAGCTTTGGAGTACGAGAAATTATTATGTGCATATTCCAGACATAGAGCTACGTTCGCACACCAATAAAATTATTATGCGTGGTTTGCCTATATTGAAGATGCCGACGTGGATAATCCGCTTAGACTACCAACTCGATTATAATATGTCTTGTCAATCCGACCGACAATCGCCTGCCCAGAGTAAATGTAAAAAGGTGAAATGGCAAAAAAAATTCACATTACAAGCACCTATTTGGTTTTCAATATCCGACATTTGCAGTTCTCTGAAGTTCCTGCAAAAAAAAAAATCTCCTTTAGGGTTTCGATATTCTCTCCTATCATTTCTATGCAAAATGGATTCACCTGCAGAAAAATGTTGGTTTGTTGCTTGTGCTGTTAAATGCAATTTAACTCCATAATAATTATGTTTTTATTGTGTACAATAGATTAATCATTTTCTATGCTAATGTACTCCGTAACAACTATATTTTTATTGCATACAACAGATTGATCGTTTTCTCTGCTCATGTACTCCATAATAATTATGTTTTTCTTGCATGCAATAGATCGATTGTTTTCGACTTTTTATAGTGCATTAATGTATTATAACTACATAATTTTTTGGTAATATTTAATTCCCAATGTATTTTCTCGATATTCTCTTCGTATTTGCTGAAGAATAAAACCCTAATATTTTAACATAAATACAATGGATCTTAGAAACAATATCTACCAATTTCTTCAATTTTCTAGATTCGAGCAAAACGCCCAACTTATTTACGAACTAATGATAATATGGAATATTTCAAAGCAATATTTTTTTATAAAGGGTCATGTTATATCTTTCATTATTGATGAAGTGACCCTCCTTACTAGTATGTTAAAAAGATGTGAAGAGATTTCCTAGCATACCTTGCCAACTACAATAGTCACATCAACGGATATAAAGTTCAAAATGCTAGTTGAATAGACATAACCCCCTAGAGACTATATTCAAAATATTTATTATGTATTTATGTTCAAATTTGTTTTTTAGACATTTGTTTTTGTTAAAACCCACTATAGGGGCTTACGCGTTAATATAAAAAAGGTGTTACATGAATCCTTAAAAGGGACAAAATGCTCACTAAATGTTCAAAAAGAGCTACAATAAAAACAAAATTAAACCAAATGAACAATGAGTACATATCTAAGATACAATGATAACATAAAAGAGAATCAATTCAGCAAAAGCTAAAAACAACCTCCCAAGCAAAAATCAATCCAAATCATTCTTCATTCTACAACCAACCTTAAACCAAACAAAGAAAGCAGTAAACCTGCAAAACAAAAAGAAAAACCTGCAGAAAACAACCTCAAAGAAACAAAATAATCAATATTCAAAATAACATAAAATAATAAAGGAAAGAGCATAACTTAAAGAAGATTCCCTCCAATACCAATAGTTCTAATGCCACACAAAAAAACACAGCAACAAAAACCCCTACTAGCCAACCAACAACAGAAAACACACAGACCTCTCAAACACAACAGACCACACAACACCCCAAATAGCCACTAGACCCAAAAAACTCAAAAAACATACAGCCCAGCCATCACATATAACCACAAAAAAATCCCCCAAACCAATACAGACTGACAAAACAAACCACAACCCTACAAACAAACAACTAGAAAATAAAATCCATCCTACAACACAAAACCCAACCCCACACCAAAAAGTAACAACAAAACTAAGCACTAAAGGGAATTTAAATCAAATTACCACTCAATAGAACAATAATTTTCTCAAATAAGGTAAATCATATTTTTCTAATCTAATCAAACCTTTTAGAAGAGAAGGAATATTAGAATTATCAAAATAAGTTAAGGAAATCAACTCAGCTCCTATCCGAGCCAGCAAATTAGCACAAGCATTACCTTCTCTCCAAATATGAGAAATAGAATAATCAACATGAGAAAGCATACTTTTAATATCCCTAAGCAAATAAAAAATATTTGCATTACCAAAATTTGGACAGTTAATAAAATGGATAACTAATAAAGCATCTACTTCAATCCAAAGCCTTAAAAAACCCGTAGATAAGGCAATTTTTAAAGCATGATATAAGGCCTTTAATTCAGCATACAGAACAAACAAAAGGATAGTGGGCAAGAAAAATAGATAAGCAAATTACCATCCTTGTTTCTTAAGATACCACCACAACCACACTTACCATTTGCCACCGAACCATCAGTATTAATTTTGATAAAATAATCCCTCGGCTTTCTCCAATATACCAATTTAAGATAATTAACAGTCTTAATGTCAATAATCTTAGAACAAAGCTTCTTAGCTATATCCTTACAGCCACAAAACTGACTAATCTTAAACAAATCGGCATTAAATAGATTAATAATTTTATCTTTGGCTCTAGCAATAACTCTCTTATGGTTCATAGGAATGTTCCTATACTTAGCATCATTCATATCCATCCAAATAAACCAAATGAGAAACATAGCCCTACCAACTTTAATGTGACCTCTAGTAGTATTATGAAATAAAGCAGTAAGAAAATGATTAAACGAGAGATAACAAAAAAAAAGGTTTTAAAAAACGCATCATACCAACGCTAAATTTTAACAGCAAAAACATCATTAATAAAAAGATGATCAATACTTTCAATATGAGAACAACACAAATATTTAGACTGTAAATAAAACCCTTTTTCTTCAAACAGTATCAACCAAAATGTACTTCTTAACAATTCTCCAAATAAGAACATAATAAGAAGTTGGAATATTTTTACTCCAAATTTTATCATAAATAACAATCACATCTTTTTTCTTTCTAATGTAATACCAAACATTTTT